CACATACCACACAGGTGAGCCAGAAATATTGGCTTTTCACATGGAGAGATTTGGTTCTGTGAACAACTTCCTCCTTGTTTCACTTTGTTGAGATGCCTAAACACACTTCAATAACACTCATCACACCCAAGGTTATGTTCACATGAACAGCATTAGATACTTTGGTAATGGCTATTCCAATGTCTGCACGGATGTTCTTGGGTTTATTCCAATGTTATGCAATGTACAGTTGTGTGTACTGTAATAGTTGTTATCCTTTACAAGTATGGATCTATAAAATTTATTATTATTATTATTAAATTTTATTATGGCTGCCCACTCCAGAAGACTGGGCAGCTTCAATCCAATTGCTCCTTGTTCAGTCAAAGGAGTGACAGGAATCCAGGTTCTTAGAGCTGCAGTGTTTCCCAGCTTCGCTGCTAACATGGCTTTTAATGGATATACCTTGGCTAAAAAGCTGAATAAAGAAATATAAATATTTCCTTTATATTTAAAAGGAATATAAAAGGAAATATCCTTTTTTCAGAACCTGCACACTTTTAAGATGTATTTGCTATGATGTGCAGGAAAGATGACCATCACACATGTTAAGATGGTAACAGAAAACTCTGGTGTGCTCCTCCCATCATACAAGCTAGATGAAGTTATTTGAAGAAATCACAGAAATCTCCTAATGAGCAGATGAGCATATTCATGGGATCAAACTGCACATGGTTCTAAATGTATGACTTCAGATCCATGGATCGATGCTTAATTCTAAACAGCAGGTGTGAAGGACGACCAGGACGCAGCCATGCTAGGTCAGATCTGGCCCTCTCTTGTGACCCCAAGAAAAACTGCCTGCCTTTCCTACAGCACTTGCTAGTCCTGTAGAAAAGTTCCCAATGTGGGCAATCCAAACTCCTCTCTTAAAGGAAAAGGTGAGTCCCCAAACTTTGGGGGGCATTTTAAGATCATGTCCTAGGTGGAGTAGGGTTGCCCATTTACAAAGTCAGAGGCAGTGGAACCAGTCATAAGCTATCTATTTTCTTGAAGGCAAAAGGATGAGAATGCTTCCTGCAATATCTCTAGACCACTGACATACTTTCTACTGTCTGTGGCTTACAGCAACAATGGAGTGTAAAATTTATAATTTAAATGTTGCTTTCTTCATGTCAGAGTTAAAGAACATTTAAGTACATTTTTTAAAACCATTCATGTGAACATGGTCTAATTCTCAGTCCACAGCAAACAGTAAACCACAACACTGCTTTTCATTTCTGGAGGCTGGGACCACCATAACACTAGCATTCTTTTAAAAATCAAACCCCTTTGGAAGAGGTACCCCAAAGTGCTCAACCCAGAAAGAAAGTCAAGGAAGACATCTCCATCAGCTGGCCTGTTCCCACCACCACCATCCCAGTCCATGTTCACCACTCAAGGGTCCTACTGTTAGCAGAAAGAGCTGCTGCCCCGGAGCCACCAGAAATCAGGCTGGGATGTCATGGAGAAGAGGAGAGAACTGAAGGGACCCTGAGAAGTGAAAGAAAAGTGACTGAGACTCTCCTGGTGGGATAGGAGAGCAGGGGATCAAAATTGATATGGATGAGGGGGGACTGGAGAAAAGCAAGGAAGGATGGTTTACTATGCTTCTACACAAAAAAAGGAAGAGAACAGCAGCTCCAAAGAAGTCAAATTGAAAACTTCCTCAGAGCGGGGACTATAATGTATCAGGAGAAATTGGAGAAGTTGTGGGAGACCATGGCTATCTGGTGACACTATGACAGACAGAGTTCACTGAGTATGAAAAGGGAAATTCCTTAACCATTTGGGGTCAGACTAGGTGTAATTTTGTGAACACAACATGCAAGACCTGTCCCTTAATGCAAACAGCAGCTTTAAGGAAGTAATTTTCATTTTGGGCCACAGCAAGGAATAATGAATAAACTCCCCCTTCCCATTTCTCGCAAGCCTGCTACTCTTGCGGGAT